GCCCTCTAGCTACCCTGGGCACCTGCCACTGGCCTGCGGGGTTGGGGGGCCGCTCACAGCACCTGCTCCCGGCCGGGCCGAGCTCCTTAACCCGGACCATTTTGTGTTTTGGTTCTGGGAATGGAATCTCGGGCCTCCACACTGAGCTTCAGCCCCAACTCGTTTTGTACTTTTTAGGTTACAACAGGGTCTCACCAAGTCGCTAAGCTGCCCGGGCTGGGCTGGAACTCCATCCTCCTGCCTCAGCCTCCGGGAGTGCTAGGACGATGGGCATGCACCCCAGGCTTAGCTAGGATGAGAATATTTAGCACACAGCCCTCTACTGTCTGGGTCACAGGAGCTTGGAAGCCGCGGGGCAGTCTCGGAGCCACTGTGGAGGAGACTTGGGACCTGTCTCCACAGAAAATGTCCCGCAGGTGGGTGAAGAGCCGGGGCTGACATTATCCTGCCTTGTTTGGAGGGTCAGGCCCGGGTGCTCACTTTGCCTTCCGTTTTTTCTACCTGAGGACCCTCCACTGGCTAGGCGAGCCCTCAGAGCTGCACCCCACCACGCGCTCTGCCGCTTGGTCACTCACATGAGGCTGAAGAGCCCTTCCAGGTCTGGAGAGGACGCTAAGGAGAAGGCCGGTGCAGAGGATGGGAGGCAGAGGCAGGCGGGCTCCTCACCTCTGAAGCTGGGCACCCAGGAGTCCCTGGGACCGGCCCTGTGACCCTCCAGGGGACCTGGCTTTGCTGAGCAGTCGCCCTTGGCACCAGTCAGAAAGCGGGGTCCTAGCACCAAAGCACCTGAACAGGCCACAGGCCTCCATCAGGGCCAGGGCCGCTGTCCTTTCAGCACCAGAGCCGCGGTGTCCCTGCTGCCCCTCCGCCCCACTTGCCACCGTTTCTTAAATTCACAGGGCTCATTTTCTATTTAAGTCTGGGCCACACCTGCTCCTTTATTGTTTTTTCCAGTATGGGGAATTGAACCCAGGGCCTTAACACTGTGCTCATCCCAGCCCCCGTTCTTTTCATTTTGTGAGAGTCTCCCTAAATCACTTCATGGTCAGGCTGGGCTAGAAATTGCGATCCTCCTGCCTCAGCCTCCCAGAGGGCTGGATGACAGGTATGGGCCACTGTGCCCAGCTCAACCCCAGGGTGTTGGCATTTCTGAGCATTTGGTGTCATAGATGGGTAGCACGCCCAACTCTGCCACAGTCCGGGTCCCCAGAGTCCAGAGGGCAGTGTGTCAGCCCACTTCCAAAGAAGGATACTGAACGTGGAGCAGGAGGCTGTCTCCAGGTCATACAGGCAGCTGCACAGCTCCCGCGGATCTGAGGTCAGGCCGGACAGCTGCGGGCAGCACAGGCCTCAGTGGGTGCCCCGAGTCCTTAGGGAGCCCGGCCGCCCCAGTGCCCCTCCCGCCTACCCAGGCCGTGTCGCCGTTCACCACCACCAGAGCAAACTCATGGCTCTTGTCAATCTTGTGCTTTGTCCTCACAAACATCTCAATCATCTTCTGGGAGACGTTGAGGGCGTTGGTTTTGGAGCTGGGGAGGCACAGTCAGGGGTGAAGAAGCCCTTGCCGCTCGGGACCCAGAGCTGCCTGTCATGTGGTGGGAGCACAGAGGGGCCCACAGACCCCACCCTGCTGGCTTGAGTTCCCACCCTTTCCATACAGGCCCCTCCAGCCAGCTTGGGGTTCATGTTCCCCAAAGAGGGCTCAGGGCCCAGGGAGACTGGACAGGGAAGAGTCTCTCTGTCGCCCAGGCTGGCTCTGGACACCTAGGTTCAAGCCTAGCTTGACTCAGCCTGACGAACAGCTGGGACCTGAGCATGTGCCACCTCCCCTGGCACCTCCCCTGCCCAGAAGCCCCCAGCGACCCACCAGGCCCTGCCTCCTGCCTGCTGCTGGTGCCACAGGGTTCTGGCCAAGGCTTTGTGCTCAGCCCTGCCTTTCACCATCCCCAGGCAACACCAAAGCAGCAGGTATGCAGGGAGGACACAGGGCTCATCTTTTTCTGCCGTGGCCATGTGCTGAACCCCCCAAAGCTGTTCTCACCCATTGAAGGACTCCAGCTTTGGCAGTGACATCTCCTCAGACAGATCCAGGCAGATGATCTGCAAGGAAATTGGGGGTGGTCAAGGGCACTGGGACACATACCAGCCGGCACTGTTCCACCGGCCCCTTCACGAAGCCCTGACCCCAAGTGTGGCTGAGTGACTCCTATTTCCCAGCCCTGCCATGCATGGCACAGGCCCAAAGAAAAGAAAATGAGCGGGGCACAGTGGTGCACACGTGTCATCCCAGCACTGGGGAGGCTGCGGCAGGAGGATCACCACGAGTTCAGGGCTAGCCTGAACTACACAGGGAGGCCTTGCTTCAAAAACCCAAATAAATAAATAAAACTGGACTGGAGTCCAGGTACTGAGAATCAACCATAGAATGACTGACACAGAAAAACAACCAGGAGGACAGAGCAGGTTGGACTGTAGGTTCAAAAGACATTTCCTGGGTCGGGTGTGATGGTGCTCGCCTGTCATCCCAGCATTCTGGGAGGCTGAGTGAGGAGGATCACCAGTTAGAGTCCTGCCTGAACATCTTAGCCAGACCATGTCTCATGATAAAAAATAAAAAGGGCTGGAGATGCAGCTCAGCGGCAAGGCCCTGGGCTGGCAGCTCAGAGAGCAGGGCTGAGACCTCTACTTACCACTTTCTCTGGACAGTTGACCCTTGGTGTTCGAATCTGGACTTCAAGAGCTGGTGGCGGCACCTGCCAGGGCTTGGGGCCGGCTCCTGGAGGGTTGGGGGTCCCATCATCCACACTGGCTGCCTCTCCCTCCCCTTCACTGCGGCTGCCCACACTGGCCTGTGCCCCCAGCGCCCGGTCCTCGGCCCCCTCGGGATTGGAGCGTGTTCGAGGCCGAGGCTCAGCTGACTGCTCTTCCTCCTCCTCCTCTTCTTCCTCCTCTTCTTCTTCCTCTTCCTCTGTAGGGCTTCCGGGTTCAGCCACTTCCATGGTGCCCATTTGGCTGGATGGAGCAGGGACGGGGGAAGCCAGGATCCTCTCCTTAGAGGTTTCGAAGACATTTGGTTACAAAGCAGAACATGAGCTAAGCCTCTCCTTTCAGGACTTAGCTTGCAAACCTAGAGAGTGAATCCTTTCACATTATCAGCCCAGAATCCACTCCTACTTGAGTCCAGATCCTACTTCTGCTGCAGGGCTCACCCTGCCTCTCTCTTGCCACTCAGCCAGTGAGCTATGCCCAGCTTTCTGTCCCCTGCGAATGGCTCAGACTTGGCACGTGACCCTGCTGAGCCGTGACTGGTAGATCTGGGACTCCCAGACCTTAGGGTAAAGACCTTCCTTAGCCAAAAGATAGAAACAGAGAGCTGCTAAGAGCCACTTGTGCATCTAAACAGGAAGAGAAGGCCTGTCTGAGGTCCCGAAGTGATGCCCACCCAGAAAACAGCAGATGGACTTCTTCTGAGCACCTGGATCCAGCTATACCTGCACACACACTATAATCCACCAACTTCCTGTTCTGGCTGACGCCAGTGAGACTTGGCTTCTGTTACCTGAAACTGGTCCGGTCTAGGCAAATAAAGAGTAAGGGGCTCAGTCTTTCCAGGGGCGCTGGGCTGCCCAAGGGTGTCTGCACGGCGACGGGGCGCGGATCCGGGTGCTGCAGATCCCTGAGGAGACACGGGGCGTCAGTGGAGCCGCTGGCCGTGGCCAAGGGTGCTTTGCGCTCCCCACCCCGCCTCCGGGAAACAAAGCTGCAGCCGCGGCAGGAAGGATGGAGGCCGGGCCGCGGGAGAAACCAGGGAGTAAGGCAGCAGCCCCCGGGAGGGCAAGGGGTCGGGACTCTGAACCCAGAGAAGCTACCTGGCTTGGGACCTGCCGCGCGCGCTGTCACCACCCAACATCCACTCACCACACCCTGAGCTTTCCCCCGAGTCAATCCCAACTCGCTAGGAAGCCGCCATCTTTCCCACCGGAAGTTATGAGGCGAGCCGCGGCGCCTCCAGGGAAATGTAGTTCGGCGGACCTTCGGATTTACAAGCGACTTACCTAAGAAGGCCGGAGGGGTCTTGGAATCTGATAGGCGGGTACTGTGCCAGAAGGGTGGGGCTTATAACCCAATGCAAGGGTGTGTGTGTGGGGCGTCCGAATGGGACAATATCTGGAATATGATAGGCTATACTGGGAGCGAGTTGTGAAACATGATTGGTCAAACTAAGACTAGGCGGAGTTTGTATGTTTCTGGCCCAATCAGACTGCAGTGGTCAGTGCTTCCACTGTGGCAGTGCTTCTACTGTGATAGGCTGACACGAGGAGCAACAGAAGGCCTAGTGATAAACCGGCAATGTGATAAGCCGAGTGCGGCTGATTTGGGCGGGAGTGAGACGAAAAGGCAGGATTGATTGATGATTGACGGAGTCAGGCTGCGCCTCATGGGGGTGGGATCTTCCGGGCGGAAGTGGGCGTGGTACGGCGCCGTGGTCCCTCCCAGTCTCTTCATTAGGCCCCTCTTTTACGTATCATGCGTACTACCAAAAAACACTAAACCTGATCAGAGGTGCGGCTGGGTGGTAGAGCGCTTGCCTAGCATGCACGAGGCCCTGGATGCCATCTCCGGCATCTGAAAAAAAACACACACTGATCTCTATTTTCCACTGAGTTACATCACCAAACCTTTTTGTATTTTTTTTTTTTAATAGGATCACTATGTCCCTAAATTGCCAGGTTAAAGTAGAATTTGTGCTTCTCCTGCCTCAGCCTGCCAGAGTGCTGCCATGACTGCTGTGCACCAGCACGCCTGGCCTTAACCTTAGTCTATTTCTGAAAGCGTCGGTGAGGCCTGCCTGCCTCAGCCAGGTCGGGCTGCCAAAGTATGGAAGGGTGAAGACTTTCCCAGGAAAGCAGAGGTGGACAGGAAGCCATTCCAGGGGAAGGAACCGCCTGTGCAAAGGCCTGCAGCCTTGGGACAGCTCTGGGACGGCCGCAGGGCCTCTGTGGGCTCCTGTGCTGGTCAGACTTCTTCAGCCAGAGAACTGCCCCTTCTCTCCCCACCACCTTGCTTTTCCTCCCAGAGGGACGAAGGGGCTGGAGGACTCAGGCTCCAGCTTTGCACAGTCTGCTCCAAGTGCAGAAGGAAAGGGAGGTGCGCTCTGGCCGGGGTCAAAGCCTCAGCGTGAGGAGCCCCCCGCCCCAGCCCTCTCCCGGCCCGAGGGGAATCCCTGTGGCCTGGCATGAGCACCAGAGCCTTGAATGCCAGGCTGAGGTGTCTGGGGACAACAGGGAGCCCTGAGGGCTCTGGGACAGCAGAGGGGAGCAGTGAGATCTCTGCAAGCACAAGCACAAAACCTCCGTGACTTGGGGGAAACGCTCTCCTCCTCCCATTTTAGAGCTAAGGAAACCAAGGTTCAAAGGGGGCTGTGTCTGGCTCGAGGTTACAGAGCCCAGACCTGTCCCCTGACAAAGTGGAGGAGAGTTGTGACCCCCACACCGAAGGGACCGGGGGTGTCCCACGATCATCACGGGGGACACTTGGCTCTTGGGAAATAAACCCAAGGGGTGGGAGTGGAGGAGCGACCGGAGGAGCGGGCGTGTCGGGGAGGAAGCGCGGTCCGGGAGGAGGAAGGAGTCGCACAATAAGAAGTCACATGGCCGGGCAGGGGGCTTCCTGTTTCCCGGCCCCTCCCGGGCCAGCCCAGGGCCAAGCGGGCAGCGGGCAGTGACTCGGGAGCACAGGCCATGAGCACGGTACACCGAGGAACACAGAGGTGCAGAGAGCTGAGGGGCCGAGCCCCGGGGGCAGCACCGCGGGTTCAGGGGAGCCTGGGGGAGGTGAAGGGGCTCGCAGGGTTCCGATCTCATTCAGGTCGAGGACAAAGGGGAGATTAGAAGTCAAGGAGGCAGAGGAGAACGGTAGTGATGCAGATGGGTAGTGATCTGCCCGCCTAGGGAGGCATCCATATGTGGTACAACCAGGGCGGTCACGCAAGATCCCTCCCGTGGGGAGCCAATGCCCGCTTGACGGGACAGGAGACTGAGGCTGTCCTTTCCCAGGACAACAAAGGCAGGAGCTGACAGCAGGCCGTGTTTTGGGGGACAAGGAACCCAGGAGGAGTCGAGGGGTCTGGTCGCAGATTTCCAACCGCAATGAGTGCCCGGGCCGCTCGGCCGAGAAGCCGGCGCGGGAGACACGCTCCGCATGTAAGT